TTCAGCCCAACCATAAACATCTTCTTCAAGTTCATGGGCGTTCCTCATGAAGACATTTCAAACTTTTATTGATAAAGCAGTGATCTCCAAGCAAGTCGGTGGATATTCCTCATTGAGTTGTTATACTCAACCTTTTGTTGATGAAGTTGGCCTCCCCACCTCAATCAATGGTACTTCTCCAAGTTAGTGGGCATTCCCAAGTGAGTTGTTTCCTTTCAACCTTTTGTTGACAAGGGTGGTCGTCCTCGGTGACTTCTTTGCTTCAACCTTTTGTCAATTTCCTTACTATCATCCTTTTGGTGATAGCCAAACCCTGTCAATTCAACCGAACCTTCATCCTTTTGGTGTTGGTAATTCTCCATGTGGGAAGTTTCTATCATCCTTTTGGTGGTAGCAACTTGTATGTTTGATCTTATCGTCATCTTTTTGATGTCGGTGATCTGTGAACCTTTGGTCTGCGTATCATCTTTTTGGTGAATGGTAGCCTTTGATATCGTTTTGCTTACTATTATCCTTTTGGTAATAGTGAGTTTTGACCATACTTTCATCCTTTTGGTGAAAGGTCATTGTGTGTGTTCTCTATCATCCTTTTGGTGATAAACTCGTCATCCTTTTGGTTTTGAGAACCCAGCGTGTGCTTTCGATTATCCTTTTGGTAATAGCGAGTTTCGACCTCACTTTCATCCTTTTGGTGAAGGGTCGCTGCGTGTGTTTACTATCATCCTTTTGGTGATAGGTTTGTCATCCTTTTGGTGTCAGATATCTTCTTTTGTGTGCATACTATATCATCCTTTTGGTGATAGACTCGTCATCCTTTTGGTGTTGGGAATCTGGTTTGCTTACTATTATCCTTTTGGTAATAACGAGTTTTGACCTCACTTTCATCATTTTGGTGAAGGGTCATTGAGTTGCATTTTTTATCATCCTTTTAGTGATTGATCCGTCATCCTATTGGTGTCAGACGTGTATTTACTATCATCCTTTGGTGATAGGTCTGTCATCCTTTTGGTGCCAGATTTAGTGTGTGTGCTCTAGCATCCTTTTTGTGATAGACCCATCATTCTTTTGGTGTCGGACGTGTGTTCTCTATCATTCTTTTGGTGATAGATCTGACATCCTTTTGGTGTCAGATATCTCATGTGTCACCTATCATCCTTTTGGTGATAGGTTTGTCATCCTTTTGGTGTTAGATATCCCTTTGTGTATGCTCTATCATCCTTTTGGTGATAGACCCGCCATCCTTTTGGTGTCGGAGACGTATGTGTGTGTTTCACTATCATCCTTTTGGTGATAGGTCTATCATTCTTTTGGTGTCAGATAGTTGTGTGTTTACTTACTATTATCCTGTTTGTAATAGCAAGTTGCGACCTTACTTTCATCCTTTTGGTGAAAAGTCATTATGTGAGTTCTCTATCATCCTTTTGGTGATAGATCCATCATCCTTTTGGTGTCGGAAGTGTGTTTACTATCATCCTTTTGGTGATAGGTCTATCACCCTTTTGGTGTCAAATATCCCTGTGTGTGCTCTATCATCCTTTTGGTGATAGACCCGTTATCCTTTTGGTGTCGAGAATCTTAGCACTTACTATTATCCTTTTGGTGATAGTGAGTTTCGACCTCATTTTCATCCTTTTGGTGAAGGGTCGTTGCGTGAGTTCACTATCATCCTTTTGGTGCCAGATATTATGTGTCCTCTATCGTCCTTTTGGTGATAGATCCGTCATCCTTTTGGTGCCGGAGTTGTATGAGTTTCTCTATCATCCTTTTGGTGATAGATCTGTCATCCTTTTGGTGTCGGGAATCTTTGTTTTCTTACTGTTATCCTTTTGATAATAGCAAGTGTCGACCTTACTTTCATCCTGTTGGTGAAGGGTCATTGTGTATGTTCACTCTCATCCTTTTGGTGATAGATCCGCCATCTTTTTGGTGTCGGGGTTATGTGCGTGATTTCACTATCATCCTTTTAGTGATAGGTCTGTCATCATTTTGGTGTCAAAATTTTCTGCTATCATCCTTTTGGTGATAACGACCTTTACAAGTTATTCAGTTTCCACTCAGGGGTCGACATTGATATATTATTCCACTTCCCAATCATTTTCTTTCTTTTCGAAAAAATTCAGAGTCTTCTTCATATCTAATTGACTTCTACCTCGAAAGAATGAACGTCCTAGAATTTCATCTTACTAGGTTTAAGCTAATTAGATAAGGGCATCTATCATACCCCAAATTTGTCTTATATGTATATAACTTTTATCTGTACGTCCGTCTACTAACCATCACTCAAAATTCAAAAAATATGTTGCTCCTGCTCAAGGTGTTGCTAGGTTGAATCAAATTTCAGGCAAAGCTATCAAGTCAGGTGTATGTGTAGTAAGAACTAAGGAATAAGGGTTTTGATTTAATCTGTCGGTCAGACAAGGATTTGCTTCATGATCAAGGCTAGGATTGCACATCTCAAATGGTTTATGTGTGATGCTTTAGTTAGGGTTTATGTGCTAATGTAGGTTTCTGTGTGAACTCAGGACGTCTGTGGATCAGGTTATCAGATTATGATGGGTCAAGTGCCTCATCAATGACTGGTTCGTCTTAATTAGGGTTTTGGTACAATCACAGTGCAGTTCACATGTTTAAGTCATCTTCTTCTGATCTCATTATTTCAAAGACCTGATTTATCTAAAGATTCAGACTACTAGGTTATAGTGGTGGATTAAGTTCTATCGACGTGTGCATCTGTGGCTTTTAAGTTGTGAATTCATGGTTCAAGTCCATTGTCCATTCTCCAAAGTCTCTTCATTCCCAATCTTCAAACATCATTCTAGTATCCGTTTCATCATCATTTTCTCTAGTTCATATGTTATTTAGTTACTCATTTTGTTAGTACAATTCTCATTTTTCTTAAAATCTAATATCATGCCCCATACTCAATTTCAAATTCATTTCCTTTGTCACTATCCAATTCGACCCATAATAAGTTTCAAGTCCAATGTCCATTTGAAATCCACATCCAAAGTCTCATTCTAATATCATTTTTTTCTATTCTTAAACCATTATGTTATCAAGGTTCATTACAAATAATGTCATATTCCAAGTCCATCATAGTACATAAAAACCATTTCCAAAATCTATTTAGAAATTCAAAAGAAACATGTACAACACAAAAATACAATAAGCCCATGAAAGACATTGAAGGCCCAATTCAATTCAAAACCCATTTACATAATTCAAAAGAATCAAGGTCCAATTCATTACAAAAAAAGAATAAAAGATACAAGAAACTCATGTTATGTTAGTCTACATTCATCCCAACTAAGAATCTCAAAAGTTAATGAGAAGAGTCAAAGCCCGTTTACGTTTACACAATAAAAGGTCCATTCTTAAAACTACATAAATTACAACATAGATCAAGCCATTTTATAGCTTTTCCTAACTCCAGGCCAAGTCAAATTTCATTCATGATACAACCACATAAACTCCACAAGCTTCACGTACTCATGCATCAAGCCAACATTTCCAGCCCACCTTGCTAAATTTCCTGCATCAGTTGCCAATTTTTTTTCCAAGAGCACACACCATAATTGCGCAACGGAAAGATACGACATGCCTTCACTCGACCCCACACAAATTGGTACCTGTTGCACCCTACACACATCAGCTAACACACAACAAATCTAATAAAAAACACAACAAAATTATGCGTAGCAACTAGAAGGATACGAAAAAAATTTGATTTTCTCAACGCACACCATCAGGTCGGCAACACAATGACTCTGTAAACGACAAAAACAATTCATGTCACACACAACCTACCCCATCCCACGTCACTCCATAACCTCGCAACAACAACATAATACGCAACAAATGTAAAAATGATTTGCAACAACAAATCCACAATGCAATACTCGCATAAAAGGACCTGCACAACTTTATTGAAGAATAAAAGCAACACGATTCCTGATCCGTACAACACCACAACGAACGAAAATTTCAACCACGTCATTTTTTTTGTTTCCATAAATTCTTCCACTCTCTTATAAGTAGACTCCACCCTCTCCACTCTAAAGGAGGCGGAAAAAGCCAAAACCTCCCCCTCTTCAAAACCTTCTTAATTCCTCCTTAAAAACTCGCATTCTTCTACAAACCCGATTTCCTTCAATTTACGACTGAACCAACCTCAAATATGAAAACCCTAAATCTTACCTTCAACCTTAAATTATTTCCAACCGGAAACAGATCACAGAGAAGAAAGAGAGAAGAAGATTGGGAATGAAACAAAGAACAAAACTATATAACAAACCTGAAATCGAAAACCATTCGGAGGGACAGAGGTGAAACGAGGAAAGGTTGGGATGATTCACTTTCGATTTCGATCCACTCACAATAAAATTCCTCTGCTTTTTTCATGTTGGATTTCCTTTTTTGTTTCTCGAAGAGCATTGACATTAGACTGTGTTTTTTAAATGGTACCTGTTCTGATGTGGTTTAAAGGAAAATGAAAGGCTAATACTTGTTTCATCTCGATCCAGGTGTGGGTTCATTGATTCTATATTGGCTCGTATGTCTTCATTGATTCATCGTTATCTTCAACAGGCAGGATGACCCACAATTTGCTGATTTGTTCGAAGCTTTACATCTTGGTCGATCACAGTGACTTATATTTATATTTATGGTTATATGTTAACTTTTAGACTCATTTGACCTAATTGGTTTATGTTCATGTGTTAACTTTTAGACTCATTTGACCTAGTTGGTTTATGTTTATGTGTTAACTTGTAGCCTGAAATAAAAAATGAATAATATAATTCACGATTCATGTTTTGAAATTAAAAATGAATAACATAATTCACGATTCATGTTTTGAAATTAAAAATGAATAACATAATTCATGATTCGTGTTTTGAAATTAAAAATGAGTAACATAATTCAAGATTCATGTTTTGAAATTAAAAATGAATAACATAATTCATTATTCATGTTTTGAAATAAAAAATGAGTAACATAATTTATAATTCATAATGCATTGGTAATATAGGCATAAGTTGTTGCCAATGTTGTAGACGTCCTGCAAATCCTATCATCCAAGATGTTGCTGCTGGAGAACAAAATTTCTTCCAATCTACTGTAACTGGTGGCAATGGAAACCCTTCTTTCATGTTTACCTAAATAAAAAATAATCAAAATATTAAGTAAAAATAACGAAAAAGAATTAGGTTTAATCGCATTATCTAAAAACAACTAAGTACCTGAACCCAATGATTTCTGTTTACAAAACTAATGCAGTAAATTGATACATTTGGTGAAAATGAAGTTGTCATAGGGAAGAAAGTCCAGCATACAATTCCTAAACAGACAAGTACAACATTATAACGATTCGCTATCACGTAACCCATATCTGGTAGAGTTAACCATTTATGTGGTGGTTGAGGACCAAATTCCTCTATCATCAAAGATTCTCTCACTACTGCTAATTGATCAGTAAACCAATTGGCATACAAACTTGATCTTTTGTTATGTATTATTTCCAACCCCAAGTCTTGACGAACCATTGGCCAACCATCTTCACCATATCCATGCAATGAAGCAATGACTCTAAATCCACAATTACCATCTGATACAACATTAACTACATCATCAATATATGACCTGATGTGATTACGAAACTGAAGGATGAACTGCTTAGATGACCGTGAAGATTGTGATAATTTCAACTTCTTCGTAGCCTGTGATGGTTGAGATTTCTTTTGTGAAGACTGTGATAATTTCAAATTCTTCGAAGTTTGTGATGGTTGAGATTGCCTCTATGAAGATTGAGATGCTTGATCAACATACTCGTGATACGAAGGGTCTCTATAAACATTATACCCTACTGGTTTTGTCTTTTTTCTTGACTCCCCTTTAGTTTTTATTTTCTCAGGTGGTGGACACATAGAAGTCATTGTGGGGAAGGTAAGTTTAAAAACCCTACTTTTTAATGTCCTTTTCCCAACAACATCCATTGACTTAAACCTTTTCCACAATTCATCTATTGCACTACTCATATCCACCTCTGATCCATCATCTACGTCTTCGTCCAACTTAACTTCCATACTTAGTTTTCTCCAATGAACATGCACAACATATATTGGTATCGATATACCATCAATTCTATATCCTGTCAACTCACAAGCACAAGGTAATCCATAGGTTGTTCTAAGAGTACAACGACATACTTCCTTGTTAGTTCCAACATAATTAACTCATTTTAACTCTTCAGCAATGCGTCTCAATGCATCTCGAGACACTGAACCATGTAAATTATTATAAAATGGACTTACGTGGGGGTGCTCAACTTCATAAAAACTCTTTTGAAAAGAAGCTCTAATATTGCCCAATTGTAACTTTAAGTTGTCATTCATAGCCTCCCAACATTTGACCATGTCACCAATACTGTTCCCCAACATTTGCTTTAACTTCCAATGAGCAAACTCAACCCTAAAATTAATACATATTAAAACTATTTTTAAAAAAATTTAAAAAAAATACAATTTAGAAATACTAAAAATAAATACATACCGATTAGTCGTGGTGTTACCCAAATGTAGCACTCGATTAATCCATGCTCCAACAAATCTTTGTCTATGTGGTGTCAACCATGTATCCTTCATATAATCAATAAATTCATTACATTCAACACACGCTTGCTCAAGTTGGTTCAACCTTTGATCATACTCAACCTCATCACTAGCCCATACAACATCCGTCCATAATTCGTCAATTTTCTTTTGCATGTCACTAGCCACATATTGTTTCCGTTTTGCACCAACATTCTTGTTAATAAGAAATCGACATAGCAAATTAATCGACCTTGGAAACACAATTTCAATGGCTTTCCTCAAAGCAAAATCTCTTTCTGTCAAAATCACTTGTGGACACACCTCTTTCTTCACAAACAATTGTTTAAGCTTATCTAGCACCCAACAAAAAGTCTCAGTCTGCTCAGACTTAATATAGGCAAATGCGACAGCAAAAAGTCAACTCGGTTGATGTCATGCCAACAATTTCAAACAGGGGTTGCCTATATTTGTTTGTCTTGTAGGTGTTGTCCATAACTAACACAATAGGAAAAATATTCAACAGCTTAACTGAATCTGGATGAGCCTAAAATATATCTCTAATAACTTCAGAGTCATATCTTTTTCTACTCCAATAAACATAACCTGCATCCTCAATAAGCTTAAACAAATGTTGTATCTCACTTCTAGGACCTCTTATATTTTTTTCTATCATACTCTTCTGCTTGTATATTTGCGTGATCCGAGTGACATTATCTGGATCTTGCTCTTGCAACGAAAGCAATATATCTCTAGGTGGAACCTTTCTCTTTGTCAAATTAATAACATGTTGCTTCTGATCTGCTGTCAACCTACCAACAAATGTGTGACCTTCTAATCTATCACGTAAATCATGGTTATGAACTCCACATTTTACATCAATCTTCCATCCAGATCCATCAGTAGCTGGAATTGATCAGATTTTAAATGGACATCCACATTTTTTCGTCGCACTCTGGGTTCCACTGTCAATATCTTTATGTTTTCCTCCTTTATCACATCTAAATATTAATTTGTTACTTCTTCCTCTCTTGCCTGTTTTAATATCTGAATGAGTAATGATAACCGTTACTTTATTTCGAATTTCGATCTCTTTAATCCATCGTATCATCTCTTCTCGTGTACCAAATCTTTGAGTAGTTGAAAAAACATCAGACATATCTACGCATATCTGGTCTTTATCCCATATTTGTAAAGGAATTTCTGAACCTGAATAAAAAAAATTTTAAATTTTTTTTAAAAAATAATACAAATGCAAACCGGAAGACTTGCAAAAAGTGTTCCGGTACACTTTTTACAAGTACTAGAACTCTTAGGAAAAGTGTTCCGGTAAACTTCTACGAAAAAATACAAACTGGAAGTCTTTAATAAAGTCTTCCGGTACATAATTTGTGTAAACCGGAACTCTTTTCCAAAGTCTTCCGGTTTGGGAAATAGTGCATAACGGAAGTCATTGTGAAAGTGTTCTAGTAGGTTCGATTGTAAAATTCCTCGGAAGTCTAAAAATCTGACACAGTAAAAAGTGAAAAAAAAATAATATTATAAAAAATATTCAGGGATAAAATTGGTATTTTTTTAAAATTGTAGGGGTATACGGGTACAAGTGTAGGGGTATGGGGTAAAATCTTTCACCTTTTTTTTAACAATTATGATTTGGGAATGATGGACTTCTATTAGCCCAGATGATTTCTATTTCTCCACACACCACCAAACCCTGCGTTGCACCCTTCCCTCTTTTTTTTTGTTTTTTTAAACTTGTTTATATGGTTTCACTACTTTTTTTTAGTATTTTATTATTTTCCTGATTAATTTTATGTTTTTTTTTAATTTTACTCATATTCCATAATTAATCCATTTATCTTAATGCTTCTTCTAATTTCAATTTTATTTCTCTTTTTCTTTTCAATTCTCATTAATGGTTTTTCAATTCAAATCTTGGTCAATGAAAGTCTAATATTATTATTGTCGATTATTGATAAAATTGTGATTAAGATGAGACCACTACTTAGTTCTTCTTGCTACTATTTTTTTTTAATTTGATCTTGGATCGATGAAGTCTTTCTATTCACGAATGTTGATTGTTGAGGTGGTTTAACCTTCAAGTTTGTGATTAAGACGAGACCTTCACCTTTTCTTTTCGTGTGGCACAATTTCTTTGGAGAATGATCCTCAATATCATCTCTTTATCGTGTTTTAACTCGAATATCAACTTGCTCGACCTTCTATAGTATGACCTTCGTCATAGATCGTGCTATGAAGGTTTAAAGCTACAGTCAGTCCGGTTCAAAGCAATAACGACAAATCACTAACTTTAATTTCAATCAATATATTCTTGATTTACTTTTTTGTCAACATATCTCGATCTTATTATCATTATCCATATATTATTGATTATATTATCTTGATATTATCTTGGCATATTATTCATATTGTTCATATCATATTCATCTTGTTCATACTTTTCGAAAACACATTGACAATTATCGAAACCCTAAAAGCGTAAATTGGTGGGCGGTGGTTACTTTTCCGAGCAACGGAACTTGGACTATGCACAGAAACCCTAGCTTGGAGCTTTTTTTTCTGATTCTTGCTCAACGCTTAGTTTAGGACACCTCGCACACACACGGCTTCCTCTTGGGCTACCTGAGAATGATACCTTTTATTTCGTGCAATCCTGTGTAACTTACATGTACCCTGCTCCCATTCCGATGTACGCATTCGTATTGCTTTGATTGTGGTTTGTTTACTAGGAGCACCCCAAGGGACTAGCATAGACTAAACCATTTTCAAACTAATTATCGATTCGTCGTCGAGCCATTTTCAAACACCCCTTGTAAGTCAATTGCTCGTAAGCATCGCCATCAACCTAACACACACACTCGCATATTTCATCGTGGTTTCGTTATTAGAAGCACCCCTAGGGACTAGTACCATTTCTCACCTCTTTCCAATAAAACCCTCAATTCATCGTCGAACCATTTTTAAATCAACTACCTTCCACCAACTTCTTTACATGTAAATACAATCAAACCCTTGATCCAGCGTCAAGCGAATTTTCTCAATCAAAATATAAAAACAATTAACAATTATCGAAACTCTTTCAAGGTGAAAAAGAGAGGGATTGAGCCTTTGATATCTCTTCAGTTGTTTGGATGTGAGTTCTCTTACTCGTGTGTGAGCAAATGACACATCTAAAACACTTCCAACTCGACAATGTTCAACCTATCTTCCAACCGCTCGTCATTCAAACACTTCTCAAACATAACCACTTTTCAAGATGAAAAAGAGAGAAAGTCAAGTCTTTGACTCATTATCCTGATTACTTGGGCTCGAGGAGCCTTTCTTAAGCTTTGAATAATCGTCATCCACGCCAAACTTCAACAAGTTAACCCTTCTCTTTTCGTGGTCGTTTCCATAAACTACGAACGCTCTGATTCTTTATTCTCGTCCAAATAAACATACCTAGGCACAAGATTGTGATGATCTTGGCGAGCTACCTTCCCTCTATTTTTCGTTTTCTCCGTGTCACAATGAGAATTGGATATCAAGCTATTGATTAAATTGAATCACAAATCATTTTTGACCACTGATCTTTAATTTATCAGAGGGAAGGGAAAAAGAACGAATAACCCATAAACATGCAATGCGAAAACAAAGCAAAAGAGAATCTAAGGTTCGAGGGTTGATTATACATAGGGAAGGTGATAGCATTCTAATTATTTGTATTATTCTACAGGAACCTCTTTTTTTATTGTGTTATTTTGTCTACTAAGGGTGAAAAGGAAAAAGGGAGACCTAAGGTGTTATTTCTAAGTATGCTCGCCAAGACATCACATCTCATGTCTACGTATCCTAACGGGAGTGAAATCAGTGCATTCGTAATTCCCCTCACTAAGGGTAAACAAAGTTTGTTGGTTGGTTTTTAGGAGAAGAGACAAGTTTTCATCTTAAGGAGAATGCTCAACTTAAACCACCACAAACATGTGGAAGATGGATCTTTGCTTCACATTAAGAGAAGGGCTCTAACTCGGACATAGAATCGACGAGTATGCCACATACCTCTCTCTAGTGGAAAAGAACCTACATCTTTCTCAACTATGTCATGGGAGAGGAGAATGTTATCTCGATTAAGGATGACTCATGTAGAGGCCCATGTATAAGCATGGTTGACTTGAAAAGGTGGTAGGTATTACACTCTTATAGAGGCCCATGTCTTTGTTTAAGAAGTTTTAAAAAAGTTTTTAATCAAGATGAAACCCTAATGAAAGATTTAATCAGAAGTATTTTCAAAAAGGAAATGATTTAAACATGGTATAAATAATGTGTAAGTCAATATAAATGTTTTGTGGTCTTGTATCAATGTTTTAAACCAAGTGTATTCATCCATATGAGAATAAAAAATTAATTAGGTTTGAAAACATTAGAAAGAAAAATAATTTTTCAAGGTTTTAAACCTAAAAACGCACTACTTTTCAACTTAATAAAAAGTGATTAAA